TCACAGAGCTGGTAATGGGCCAAGCTAGTTTTGGAACATGTGTACTTCTGAAGTTAAAGTCCACTTCACAATAGTATTTTCCCATTAAGGAGTCTACTGCATTCCTTCCTTCTTTCCTGCCTTCCCTCCCTCCTTTCTTTCTTTTAAAATGTACAGACAAAATGTTTTGTATTCTATAGAAAAACAGGTTGAGAAGCTACTTAGTAATTTTCCTATGTGGAATTCTATGAAATTTCTCTTAATGGAAGACTTCAAACTTAAAAAATTCAGTGTCAGATCAAGAGTTGAACCATATTGACAGAATGAAAATAAACACAGCCGGGCGCCAGTGGCTCACGCCTGTAATCCTACCTACTCAGGAGGCCGAGATCTGAGGATTTTGGTTCAAAGCCAGCCCGGGCAGGAAAGTCCATGAGACTCTTATCTCCAATAAACCACCAGAAAACTGGAAGTGGTACTGTCTCAAGTGGTAGAGAGCTCGCCTTGAGCTGAAGAACTGAAGGATAGCGCCCAAGCCCTGAGTTCAAGCCCCATGACCGGCAAAAATAAAATAAAATAATAAAAAAAGAAAGAAAATAAACACCAATATTTGATCCAGAATCTTAGTGATACTCTAGAGAATTCAGTTGAAATTCTAAGAAATGGATCATTTGGAAGTAGTCGCAAAACATCGTCAAGTCCTTAAGTCAGAAAGACCATTACCTCAAGTTCAAAATACTAAAAAGTAGAAATCATATGTATCTCCCAAGAGCACAGACCAGATCTCAGTCAAGTTTGTACTCTGAATTCAGACTCATGTTCTGCCAGATCCTCAGGCAGGCTTGTGCTGACTCCAGATGTATACTCTATTTCCATCCATTTGGTATAATAAAGTTGCACAAAATATTAATTCCTAGGTAGTCCATGCCACATGTCAAAAACTAAATTTTTTGATCCATAGCCATGAAAAGTCTTATTTTACTTATCAAACTTTGTTTTCTCTACTATCTCTAGCTTCATTTTGGCCCCCTGCCAAATCTGACAGTGCCAAAGAAAACACAGCTGACTCTATGGCCCATGGTGACTTCTGACTCATGGGATCCCATGAAGGAAATATCCTCTGGTGGCACCTGGTCAAGCCTAGACTTTCTTTAAGCCCTTTCTCTAGGCCTGGCTGGCTATGGGCCCATGCCGTTTTGTTCTCTAAGCTTCCATCTGAAGAGCCATCACTCAAATATATCAATTCATCATTTATATATGAAATGATGTTTAACAAGTACTATCAAGAGGTGATAAAAGCTCCCATGTGTTGATGAGATGGAATTAGTCTCCCAATACCAGGAATTAGACACACCCATGATATGTGAGCACATACACACTTGAGAGACTCAAAACTTTGTTGTAATTAGAGCTGTTAGAACATTGTCCTAGCCACCCAAGTCACAAGAAACTTTGAGCAAATTAAGGCAGTCTCCTGGCCCCAGGGGACAAGGGATGTGATCCACACAAAGGAGACCAGCTAGATCACTAACTGATTCACATTGGATGTTTTAGGAAACTACTCAGATGTCCTCTTGACTCTCTTAGAATGCAGTGATCTAAAGTTGGCAAAAAGATATTAATGAGGGAGAGTTCCCTGCAAGCCATGAGCTTATGGCAGAAAGATGTGAATACTAGCGCTACAGATAAGAACATTAAGTTTGGTAGTTCTGCAGTAAAAAGAACTCACCCAGGAAAGGTTAAGTGAGAACCTGACAGAATTGACCAGGGCTAGCAGGAGAAATGTGAGGTGAAGGCTACAGGTAATTTGAAGTGGGAAGACTCTCAAACTCTGGCCCCCTGGGAGGATGCTGTCATCATGGCCTTCACAGAGCAGAGAAAGGGCACATCCAAGGTGCTGGGCTCATAAAGTCATGGCGCTGGAAAAGACTAAGGGTGTTTTATTCGGAGATGTTTATCCATCTGCAATTTAATAGGGAACATGGTGAAATTACACACACACACTCCTGACTTTTAATACTAAGCACTCAATCACTTCACTTTCTCAGTCCTTCCTTCCCTGCTCAGCGGCTAACTGAGGGAGGTGACCCAGGTCATTCCAGAGTTCTGAGCCAGGTCTTAAAGGAAGATCATGTCCATGAAAAATGTCTGTAAGACTATCTGCTCAGCCACACACTCCTTCCTAATATGCCACTGTACCTCCAATGCTCTGACACAATGATTACAACTTTACACTAGCATTGTGAACTACACTGTAGTGTAGTATCTGGGAGTAGAAATAACTCATGGTATTTAGTATTATCTCTGTAATATCACCACGTCATCTGTGGAAAAATAAAGAATGAGCACAATTCAAATAGGTCAGCAATCTTCAATATAGTTTCACTGAAAAGAAACCAGTCTCTGTAGAGCTACTGGCCTTTTCCTCCCATGTTGCTAGGCCAATTAAAGAGCAAAGAGCTAGATGGAGAACTGCTCACCTGGGAGGAGGCATGTGTGCTCAGGGACTGTGTGGTCTAGCAGGAAGCACAGCAGGCTAGGAGATTTGGATGAGAGGCCTAACCTTTCCAGGAACCATGTAACTCTTGGGCAAGATATTTTGCTTTTGCTGCCCATTTTCTGTTTGTAAAACAGCATAATTCTACATGTTCTTTTCTACCCAAAAATGTGCTAGGAACAGGGATAAAGTGTGTGAAAATTCTGAGTTTTTTGAGAAACAGTATTAAAAGCACTGAGTGAGCATGGTAGGACAAAAGGCCCTGATATGACTAGATGAAGGAAGGCATCGGGGAGGGTCACCAAGCAAACGGGACAACTGTCACAGTGAGATACAAACACACAGCCCCAATGTCCCTTGAGAAGACCACCCCAACAGACAGGCATGAGAGACACATACCAGTCTCACCGGCACCCAGGATCTGACAGATACACTGCCATCTTTCCCCTTTTCTCCCTTTCTTCCTTCTTTTCTTTCCCTTTTCTCAGCCCTTTCCTGTCACAAACATTCTGCATGAAAGGCTCCCATATCCTGAGTCCTAGATATAAACAGCACCCCCAAGTTACTCATGGTGTGGCTGAGGGAATACCCTAGCCTCAAGTTGCTCAGTGTGGCTGAGGGAGCACCTTAGCATCAGCTCACAGTATGGCCACAGCCTTTGAATGGCTGCTCCCAAGGGGCAGAGAAAAGCCATAGCTGCCATGGCTGAACTGACAGGGTCCTGGCTCATCAGCTAGCCCAATCCTCTTGTGATTTTCTCATTTGCCCATCTGTCCTTTCTCCCTTACCTTCCTTTGTTGTATCAATTACAGTGATAACTAACTGTTCATTTGCTGTACTGTTAAGCCTTGGTACTTAGTTCCTAGGAAAATATTCCTATAATAGGGAGCAAGAGACAGATGAGAACCAGTTAGAAGGATGCACCCAGGCAAGATGAAGAGGGGGGCTACATAAAATCAAATGGCATCAGAACTCTCTGTGGAAATTCTACAAGACTGAATAGGCAACGTTCTTTGCAGCCAGGTGCCAGAGGCTAACGCTTATAATCCTAGCTACTCAAGAGGCTGAGATCTGAGGATCACGGTTTAAAGCCAGCCCATGAGACTCTCATTTCCAATGAACCACCAAAAAGCTGAAAGTGGAGCTGTGGCTCAAGTAGTAGAGCACCAGCTTTAAGCACAAAAGCTCAAGGATAGCATTCAGCTTTGAATTCAAGCCCAGGACTGGCATAAACAAAAAAAGAAAGAAAAAATAGAGATATGTTCTTTTGGAGTAAAAGTTTGGTGTATAGTTAAGGCAAACATATTTTAAACCCAGCAGCTATTTCCTCACTCCTGATTTTAGAGGTTGAGTTATGCATACATCTGTAACAATGGTACCAACAGTAGCTTGAATTTTTCCACTGGGTCTCTATTCCAAGTGTTGTGCTAGGTGCTTTACAAACCTCTAAAGCTCTGGCAACAAAGCCAGCATTATTACCCCCCTCTCCTCCCTCCCCCCATCCCCCCCCTACCTCTTTTAGAGGAAGAAGCCAGACTGGAAAGTTAGGTAACACACCAGGGGCCATCTAAGTAGTACAGGATGAAGGTTGCATCCAACACTGCTGTCTGCCTCTGGAGTCTGTGCTTATTAAATTATACTATTCTGTCTCTATGTTTATCTTTGTAAGATTTTGCTTGCATTCCTTTTGCTTCTAGGAATGCTGATTGAGAGGAAAAGAAGGCAACAGCAAGAGAATTAGCATGGGGAAGAGATGGGCAAAGGCATGCAGAAAGGAAGAAGAAAGAAATGCATTACTTCCCAAACTAAGAGGAATAGCTGCCACAGCTGCCATGTTCAGTGAACTCATTTGTGTCATACTCCACGTTGCCACAGAGAGGCTGGGAAGAGGGAAGTGGAAGTTGGGAGCTTCTAAGGGAGCGCAGTGCAATGCAGTGGAGTGCCTGGACCTCCGACTGTGAGAAGGCAGACCTGGAGGCCTGTGACCCTCCACTGACTCCTGTGGGGGCCATGCTGGAACTCATCCTCCGTGGTGGTCCACAGGTGCCTTAGCCCTGAAGCCTGCTCACATGTTTTGATCCCAAGTCTTTCCCTTATTCCAGTGTCCACAGTCCAAGCAAACAGCAGGAGGACCTGACCCATCTGGATCATATTAGCTCCTTGTATCATGCTATTTACATTCATGAGGCATGGTATCGCGAGATCACATTCTGTAAAACTTTTCCTTAAAAAACAGTTTTATTCTCTAATCCTCTTTTTATTGGTTAGAAGCAAAACAAAATGGGTCATATATATATGAAAGCACAGAGAAGAAAGACAAACCATCCTAGAAATGACTGACCAACAGACACCCGAGAACATTTATCCAAGTGGTTTCCCCAGGATATCGAGGGGAAACGTGCAAACAATTTTCTTGGCTATCATCACTTTAATATGAAACTTAAACCCCAGTGCAACCACAGGCACATTCCTTTCCTCCAAGGGCAGCAGAACTGTGCTTCGGAGGTGTGGGCAGAGCTCTTACCTGGCATGACCATGGTCTGTGGGGCTGCTGCATCAGTGCTCAAGCAGAGACGGCCACCTTTGGCTAATCTATCACATAGCAAGGTGATGCGTTTCTTCAGTCGGCTGGTATCTTTTGGCATGCTCAATTGGCTGCTGAGGTTCAAAGCCTGCTCCTTGGAGCTCTTTGACAGGCAGGTCTTCAGTAGGTGTGCAATAGCAGCATCCACGGTTTCTTCCCAGCCCTGCATGCAAAAGCCAATTTGGAATTTATGCAGATGACAGCAAGCAAACGGGGCACTTTACTGTCGAGCAGGTGAGGCAGCTGGCTGGGTGTTTACTCTGAAGAGCCTGGTTTTGAATTCTAGCTCGATGTCAATTGTTTGGCCTTGACCAAACTACTCACTTCTTATAATCTGCTCCTCTGATAGTTAGGATGAATGAATAAGATGATATATGAGAAGCGATTACCTGGTACCAACTACACACCAACCAATAAAAGGAAAGTTAGCCTTTGGGGCAGGAGTGTGGGTGAAGGAGTGAAGTTTGTTGTGCTTGTGGAGCCAGCCCCAACAGAGAGGAAGTCAGGCAGGGGAGACGAAACCTCTGGATGCTCAGGAGACACTGCACTCCAGAGAAGACTGTGATAGCCCCACTGCTAGAACCATAGCTGCAGAGCCACAGGCAAGAAGCAAAGGAGAGTCAGGAGAGTCAGGAGGGATTCTGTGATGCCAGGACCTATCTATTCCCACTTCAATGTCAAGTGATAAAAAGTGACACAGAGCAAAGAAATGGGCCATTACCTATTTCTGCTGGGAAAACCCTGGCTGTAGAACCAGTGAAGATGACCTGGAGAGGCACCATTAGGGCTGCATAAGACCTCAGTATCACCACAGAGGATTCCAGAGCCCAGGGAGGACCACTTCCAGTGGGCTCAGATAAGACCAGCAACAAGGAGGGGTATGCAGCAGAAGAGGAGTTGAGGGGCTCCCACTACACATCCTAGAGGAGCTCCACAGATGACTGGCTAAGATCTTTTTGGGGGTGTGTGGAAATACAGGTCTTAAGGAACACAACAGGGAAGTTGGGTTCAATCTGACTTAATTTGGGTGGGTTATCAATGTGACTCCATTTGTACCCAAATACTGAGAAGGTCAAGACACTGAATGAATGTATCCTCACAGACTGTAGAACAGCCCAAGCCTCGTGTATCAGGGGCAGGACACATGCAATTTGGAGATGGGGTGTTTCTGGATCCTTCACCTAGCACCCTAACCTTCAAAGTTGCCTTGACGAGCCACCTCTCACATACGCAAATGGATAGTGTTACTCTCAGGTCTCAACTCCTGGCTCCATATGCTCCTGTTCCAGGGCACTCTCCCCTGCCTCACATGAGTCCATACTTTCCCCTCCCTTAGACCCTCAGCTGCAGTGTTCAGTGTCTCCTCTTTGCTAGGCCAATCCCCACATAGGACAATGCAGGCCCTGCCTTCCAAGGGCAGTGTTTCTAGGTCCCTCCTTTGAGCCTCAGCTCTCTTATACCTAGTGTTATCCCAACTCTCCCTGCCCTGTACTGTAGTCCCTGCTTGCAGGTCCAGTTCCCCACCAAGTATCCAGAGCTCTCCACATCACTACACTGTTTGGCACACTGACTGTGGTCCTAAAATAGCGTTTCTGAGATTTAGAACCAGGCAGGAACCTAGATTCCAGAGGTCTTGGAGATCTTCCAGGATTTCCCCAAGATCCTTTGTACTCTAGTAGCCACCTGTGTAGGCATGGTGGTCTTCAAGGTCCACAGTTATACTGCTGTTTGAAGCAGTTCATTCTTCTCAGGACATTAGTGTCCAGTGATAGGCACTCCACTTCCAGGCCCAACCTGCCCCAGTGACCCTTATTCTATACCCTATTCTATACCTACCTAAGTCTAACCCTCTGCTCTTCATGACAGCTCTCAATAGGTGTCAAGACTCTCTCCTCCTGGTTCTTCCAGTTCTTCCTTCTATAAACATGTTTCAACTCCAGCAGGACCACTCTTCTCTGAACAGGTTATACTTTGAGACACTTAAAAACATGTACAGTTAAGTAGAGAACTCCAAACTGGCCCTAGGACACCAGGCTGGGCTGGGAATGCAGCCATTTTCTGGGAATGTCCTATGTACCAGGCTGGCCTTGGGTCATCTATGCTCTCCTGGCAGTTGCACTACACCCCTGATTGACAGACACCCGTAGCAGGTCACTTCCTGCTTGGAAGACTTCCCCTTCCAAGCTTTATGCGGTTGATTCTTTAAACCAAACACAGAATTCTCCATATATTCAACTAGAGAGCTCATTGTCATGGTCTGTTAATTGGGCCATTTGCTTCCATGACACATTTGCCCATTTTCTATTGTAGATGCCCCCAGACAAATTAATAAGGAAAGAAATTATTAGAAAATGAACTTGAAAAATGTTTCAGGACTTCGAAGACTAAAAACCAAACCACTAACAAACAAACTACTGGTTGCTACAAAGACATCTCTCTACTAACACAGAAATCTGAACTAGACAAATATATAATACTGGCTTTGTATTTCAATAATAATGGCAAGTGGTAAGACCACAAAAAGTAGCACAGATGTCACTGAAGAGGACAAATTCTCAAGTTGCTTTTGACAACAACCTCTGGAGTGGAAGAAGGAAAGATACTTGAATATAAATGGACTCTGTGTGATCTGTGGTCATTTCGGCATTAAATATTTTTTATGGACTATTCATTTATTTCCAGCCTAAAAGTCTAAGCAAACTGCTGCCTCCATAAATAGTAGTTTATAACATAGTCTAAGTAGATACTGCATTTACTTAACACAAAGTACCACTACAGAATTCTTTCTCTACTGCCAACCTGGGGATCAAACTAAAAGCCATGTCATGTTTAGGCATTTGTCATGGATAATTCTTTAATACAATGAGGCATGATGCCAATGCTTCAGGAAGATTGCTACTAAAATATGGTTATTATTTGGAGGGCCTGAATTTCTGCATATATTCAGACATGATAATAGAAGGGAATAATAGATCATAGAGGGGAATGTTTATGAGATGAAAACAGGAGTTTGATGTGAACATGTGGTATGATGGATCCACTAAACAGACATACAGTGCATGACCTCAAGAAATGTGAACTGTCTCTGTGGGATTGAGGACAACTCTAGGGGGAGAAGTCCTTAAAAGGAAGCCACCTTGACCACTTTTCTGGTGTCTATTACTTTTATTGACAGCCCTGTATCTAATTTAACCTAATTCTCCTTCCCTCCCTCCCCCGCCTCTCAGACACAGACACACACACAGACACACACACACACACACACACACACACACACACACACACACAACTACTTGTAGAGCTGCATATCACTATTACTAAAAATGGGCTTCATACTGTAAGAATGAAAGAAAAGTCTAGAAGGGTGCTAAGCAAGTGCCAGGCAGTGAGAACAAGTGTTTGTTTAGATTTTTTTTTTTGGTGGGGGGGTCTGGTCATGGGGCCTGAACTCTGGGCCTGGGTGCTGTCCCTCAGCTCTTCAGCTCAAGGCTAGCACTCTACCACTTGAGCCATAGTGCCACTTCCAGCTTTTTTCTTTTTGCTTATGTGGTACTGAGGAATTGAACCCAGGGCCTCATGCATGCAAGGCAAGCATTCTACCACTGAGCCACCTTCCCAGCCCCTTGTTTAGATCTTATACCCTCAACTTTATTATAAAGTCTCACTTGAACTGCGAGTTGAAACAACAGCAAGTATGAAGCGGAAAGGAGGGAGAGAAGGGGGAGAAGGGAGAGGAGGGAGAGAGAGGAAGAGGAAGGAGAAAGGAAAGGAAGGTGGGTAGAAGGAAAGAAGCAAGAGAAAAAGGAGGAAGGAAGGAAGGAAGGAATTGAACTGTGCATGTCATTCTATTGCATTTTACAAGCCTGAAAGTATTAGAGATTCCCCATTTCACTGGACTTGGGGGAGTTGAGTGTACTTTGTTGACTCTAGTGTGGATAACGAGGAGTTCGGCCCTACCCACATACTTCTGTTGTGGTTCTCTACCCGAGCCCCTGCCTCAGGAGCCTGCTTGAGAAGCTGCTCTCACAGACTGGGCTGCAGCATTCCTGCCTGATGCCCTCGAGGAACTGGACCTGGTCAGCCTGGCTGCCTGATCTCTCCAGTCTAAGCCACAGCTGTGCCTACTCCCCAGCATGGCTGCCTGGCTAGCTCCCACATTCCTGTGTGAAAACTCCATGCTCCATGTAGGTCCAGTTAGTACAATAAAGTTAATTCCCTCAGTGTCAACCAAAACAACCAAAGGAACAAAGAAGCTAGAGTACTATCCCCTGTGAATTAAAAAGGGGGGCTGAAGAGAGCTTCTGCCTTAACCTCACTCACCTCCCCACTTACGGCATGGCCTTGGACAACTTGCTGACCCTCTCTGGGGTATGCCTGGGGTCTCCACAGAACATGAATATCACTAGTTACTATGTGCTTCACCCAGCAAGTAGACAGAGGCAGATGTACTCCAAGCCAATATGGAATAAGCGACTTGCTCAATCCTGCTTTATTGAATTAAGAAAATAGAAGTACACCACCAAAATTCAATGTGTAAAAACATCCTTCAACTTTTTAAAGCAAAATTATAAATTCCTGTGAACTTATGTTTGTAATAGAAACACTACCACATCCTAAATTACAGGAGTACAGGGAAAACCCACAAAATGCCACTGTAGCATTGATTGCTAAATCTGCACAGAGAAAACATTAAAAAGATCTGTCAAAGGAAACACATGCTGGTCAAGGGGGCATAGTGTGGCCCTGGTTATGGTGAAGGAGGGAAGTTCCACATGTACCACCAGTCAGTCTTGTGTTTATACATGAAGGCAAGATAATTCTTATACTGTATTCATGTATCCTTTTAAAAAGTTGTATCAAAGGGAAATACATGTCCCCTTGAATACAGGAAATGATTCATAATGAAATTATTGGTATTCATGACTGATATATGAAGCCTAATGGTTATTACTTTGTACCAGACTATATTTAGCCAAGATAAGCAGAATAATTGTATGAAGGATCATTATAAAACTAAGAATAAGTAAAACCTTTTAGTTGAAAATTACATATTTTTGAAGGAATACTTGTTTTTCAGGATTTACCTAATGGTTAGATTATTTCCAAAGAATAAATTTAGTAATTTCCTGTCATGTAAAAAGGGGTCAAAATATTGAGCTAGTT